CTCCATAGTTTCGAGGCGGCCGGCGACAATCTGAAGATGCGGCCTCTGCCGGAACCTCGGACGCGTTCCGCCACAATTTCCAATTGCGAACAAACGCGCCACCACGCGTCGGATTTCCAAGGACGCGTTTCTGGTGTTCTCCCACTTCATTTTTGCACAGAATACGGGCAGCTCGCGACTATGAGACCTCCTGTGCAGGACGATGTAGAAGACGATCTGGCGGCTGAGGAAGAGAACAAAATTATCAACGAGGTGCGCTAAGATCGCGTCTGTTTGTTCCATCCCGGTTTAACTAGCATCTGCAGGAGTACAAGACATGGTTAGTCTGTCGACTGCAACGACTTTGGCGGTGTGTTAACGTGGAGCCCTATTGAAGGAAGAAAAACGCGCCATATCTCTATGATATGGTCATCACACACGCCCTTGACTGGCCGAGTTTGACCTGCCAATGGTTCCCGGATAAAGAAGTGTACACGGCCCATACATTCCGTTCCTTCTGAATATTTATCTTCTCTATAGGAATGACGGCAAACCCTACACCACCCACCGCCTTCTCCTTGGCACGCACACGTCGGGCCAAGCCCAAGACTACCTCCAAATCGCCACCGTCCAAATCCCCGACCAATCCGCGCCCCAAAATATCCTCGACCGCAGCGCGTACGACGACGAACGAGGCGAGCTCGGCGGGTACACGCTCCCGCCGCAGCCGCGCATCCAGATCATCCAGAAGATCAACCACGCAGGCGAGGTCAACCGCGCCCGGTACATGCCACATAACCCCGATATCATCGCGACGAAGGCAGTCAGCGGCGAGGTCCTGGTGTTTGATCGCACGAAGCATAGCAGTGAGCCCGAGCGATGTGGGGTGTGTAAGCCGGACATCAGGCTGGTGGGGCAGGCGAGGGAGGGGTGAGTGCTACTGCGTGGTGTGCCGTGCGTCCGTTGGCTGATCGGGTGCTGGAGGGATATAGGTATGGTCTGGCATGGAATCCGAACAAGAAAGGACATATCCTTGGGGCTTCAGAGGATATGACGGTGTGTCAATGGTCAGCAAGAGGACCTTTTGCCCTAGTCCACGGTTATAACGTCTACTTTAGGGACCTCAATGCATACCAGAAAGCGACTCCTCAGATCGAACCATTGAACATATTCAAAGGGCACACCTCGGTCGTTGGTGTACGTCCTCAGTCGCATAGTATCGCTTATAGTATTCTCATAGATTGTAGGACGTGGACTGGCATTCTGAGAACGAGAACACCTTCGCAAGTGTTGGGGACGACAAGATGCTGATGATGTGAGTCACATCCTGACTGCGAAAGTTATACGAGCTTATCCCTTCGTACCAGCTGGGACACCCGGGCGCCGAGTGAACCTACTCTCAAGACGCAAGCGCACGATCGGGAGGTACTATGTGTAGCATGGAGCCCAGCCAGCGAGTACATGTTGCTCACCGGTAGTAACGATAAGGTCGAGTCAGTTCTGTCTTGTTCCAATGTGGAACCTAATTGCTTTACGAAGACAATCATCCTTCACGACACGCGTTCGCCACACAGGCGCTTGCACGTCTTCGAATCTCACACAGACGAAGTTCTGCATGTTGCCTGGTCACCACATAACCCTACCATCTTTGCTTCTGCGTCGAGCGACAGGAGGATCATGGTCTGGGATCTGAACGAAGTAGGTGTGGAGCAGACGCCTGACGACCAAGAGGACGGTCCGCCAGAGTTGATGTTCGTCCACGGCGGTAGGTCACACGCGGTCCGCGCCTCTGAAGCGACGATGCTCATGGGACGATTGGATCAGGTCACACGTCCAGACCGACTGATTTCTGCTGGGCGCCGGGCATTGGTGAGAATTGGACGGCGGCTAGCACGTCGGAGGACAACGTCGTGATGGTGTGGCAGCCCACAATGCGTATCTGGGCGGGAGATGCTGTCAAGATTGACGAGAAGGAGCTGGAGAGCGATGCGATGGAGGGTGTGGAGACGGCAGAGCCTGCGAGCGCTAGCGGAAGTGGTGGGAACCGGGGGACGAAGAGTATGAGCATTAGTGCGAGTGCGAGCGTCGCTGGGGAGGAGGATAGCTGAGGTATTGGTATTGATTTGTCGTGTTATCCTGATGCTTTGATATCCAAGTAAGTTGCTGTGATGCATCCGGGTATCCGTCACAGAGAAGAAAGCGAGATCCCATAATGATGCTGGTATACAAGATGTGCGTGGCAAACGGACCAATGATCTCCATCCCCGTCCTTCTCTGTGCTCTCGCCCTGGCGGAAGCCAATTAAAGGAACATCATACGCAGCAGCTCGAATATCACTGCACAGAAGTAATCCAGCGTTAGTGACACAGTCAGCAAGTCTACCACAATAGTATCGCACCTCCACCGATTACCACAAATACGACAATCCCTAGCGTCCATAAGCCGACGGGACTGCGTTTCGACAACAGCTCCTGGCGGGAGGGATTGGTGGGTTTCTTCCCGGCACGCGCTGCGTTAGCGAACTTCGCGTTCTTTTGGCGTCGCTCGAATTCGGTCGGCTATATTCCTCCTCTCATCAATCCGTGTTCAAAGACAGAGCACAGCCTGTGGCGTACCATAATTAATAGTGTATGAAGGAGTGGACGGGTGAGAGAGTATATGCAGTGTGCGAGCTGGAACGGGAATCGTAACTGTAATTACAACTTCGATCGACACGCGACGCGACGTGTCAGTGTTTGGCGTTGTCTGCCAAAGCCTTCCGTTTCTAACACGGACAAATACTTTTATTCTCGAAGATGGTCTTTTTCTGGAGGCAACTCCCTCTTTATGGAGACGAGCGACAAGAGACACTCTGGCAATAATCGAATGCGCAAGGCGGATGCGACATCAAGAAATACAAAGCAAGCATGCCAGGCAAGCGTTCAGACAACGCTCTAGCTCTGATCCATTCCGTCCCTCTCCTCCGCCTCCCCGCCAATCTCCTCGAACATAAGGGATCCTTGCTGGTCCTTCAACCATTTCACGCTCCGCTTCTCATCCATGAAATACGTGTACGCTCGCCGAAGGTCCTCCACCTCAACTTGCTCTGATTTGCGTTTCCGCGCAAGAACCTGGCCACACGAAATCAGGTTCAAGGCATAGCGCAATGTTGTGTCCATGGCCATTCTAGTGAGGACAGCTGTGGCCTCTGAGTGCAGCGTAACGTCCTCCTCTTGACACCTACAAAGGGCGCTGTGTCAGCGATGCCATCGGAGGCTGGACTAGACGTAGGGGTACGGACCGGATATGAATGATCTGCTGGATGTCCTCTTCCGTGTAGGGTTTCGTGCTGACAATGAGCACACGATCGAGCAGGTCCACCGGCAAACCGTGAGGGCTGCGGAACTTCGTCCCTCGAATCCGGGCCATGCCCCGATTCGAGGCCATGATGACGAGCGGAGACAGATCGTTCTCGAGCGCGCGATTGAGGAAGGAGAAGCATTCAATATCGAGCATATGGACTTCGTCGATAAACAGAACCTAGACTTTGAACTTAGAAGACGGAGACCCCATTCATAAACTTGGACGTACCCCAGGAATAATCTCGGCTTTGCCTTCTTCTCGCCACTCTTGCACCTTGGTGTTAATTTGGTTTCGAAGCTCTGGCTTGATCTCGCCGGTGTCGCCAGCAAATAGGGCGAGGAAGCCTTGCGTTCGGCTGTTAATCACATCGATCTCATGTAGGGAGACTGTATGGACGACTTCTTTGCGCTTCTGTATTTCGCCTTCTGGGCATTGTACGAATTTTGTCTTGGTAAGGTTATATCAGATAAGAAGACCGGTGGAATTATCAAGGCCACTCACATCAGCCCCCATTGCATCATAGTCTCTTGACCGAGCAAAAGAGCGCCCCAATTTTGTTATCTTGCCAGACGTTTTGTCAATAGCAATCACGTCTCCTGCGAGGACTTTTTCTTTGGACAAGGCGTCGATCATTTTGGTACCGAGGTCATAGATGGTCTCCATGTCCGTCGTTTTTATTGTTAGTTTGCCCGTCTTGGTAGCCTAGATAGAAGAGAAAGCTCAGACGCAAAGCGTGCCTCAAAGAAAATTATGCATACGCCAGTCAGACTTCGGTCAATCTGGATCTCGACCACCTCTCCCTCAATAATTTCAGTCTCTTCCTTGATACGAACACCAATACTCCGTCGTAGCGCTTGCGTGAGAGCCTCCGTCTTCGACATGGATAAGGAGAATACCTCACTGGCGGCAATCATCGTGAACGGCACGTCAGGACCCAGTGTCTGTGCCATTCCTGTGCGGGAAACCTGTATCACATTAGCTGACCAAGAAAGCGTCTTCACTGGAGCATACCTAGAGCAATAGCCGTCTTCCCTGTAGACGGGGGCCCCGCGAATAGCATCGCTCTGCCTGCTATCCGTCCCTCCTGCACCATTTTGAGGATCATGCCAGCAGCTTTGCGCGCTTTGGCTTGGCCAACCATTCCTTGGGAGTTCGCTCGGGGTTCGAGCCTGTCGTCGAGTCCGAGACCACGGATATGTGAATGGGCGCCTTAGCACGCAGCGTACTTCAGCATCCAGTGGACGGTCTGAAGGGAGGCATGAACTGACCGATCCGCTCCATCTTCGTGATGTCCCGAAGCTCGGATGCGCCAGCTGTAATGGATGCGGCCTTCATGTGTGTGAGCAGGGGACTAGGATAGGTTAAGCAGGATAACGCGTACCATGGTAGAATCTTGAGAAAGGACGTTTGTCTTCGATCACACTTTGAACCTGCTCTACAACTTTCTAACCGTGGGAACCATTTTCTGATGGGTTACACTTGCTATGCAACTTGCAAGGACTCGCCACGGTCTACTTCTACATCGGATGCCTATGCATTGCTTTTATCTATGATATTGGATTCGATCCTGTACCACATTAAACCTCGGGATTGCATTAGGAAAATCCACTCCGGAGTGCGTGGCGTTTTACGGTCGGCGCTGGGTGGAAAGTGTTTATACCTGACAAAAGGTGCAAAAGTGAGCCGACCCAGGTTCGAACTGAGGACCGCCTGTGCACACATGCAAGTGTTAGACAGGTGTGATAACCAACTACACCATCGGCCCTATGACGAATGTTTCGTAGTTATATATCAGATACTTATTTGCTTTTAGCATTCGAACACCAAAGACAACCCCAGCCGCATCCACGAAACGAAGCCCAATTGGAAGTAGAATCCATGCAATTCAACTAGCCGACCCTACTGCGATATTCCATCTCCCACATCTCCCCATCACGCAGTCCCGGTGCGACCCGTCTGTACGGCCGATACCCGTCTCTCCCAACGCCAACACTGGAGCCAGACGGAGACCAGCTCTCGCGCAAGAGGTCGAGGATGGGTTTACCCATGCACGATGAGAGAATGCACCATCCGATGGCACAGAAACTTGCGTGAGATGAGATGAGACAGGGCCTTGAGAGAGTCGGCGGGACTAGCACTTACAGCAGCAGCGAGAAGATGAGAAGGACGGGCAGAAGAGGGGTCATGTCGGTTTCGGATGGCATGGCGGCGTGAAGCAGTAGCACGGTGTGAGCACGTAAGGTCGAGCTCTCGAGCGCGCAGGCGGGCCGTCGAGGCAAGGTCAGCTTGGTCGCTCGGTCAATTGCATCCGTTAGAACGCCGAGCCTATTAAGCTTAATATAAATGGATGGACACAGCTTGTCCACGATCGGCGGCACTCCCTACCGACACTGACGAGCCTGCCTCTTGCTTCGTATATATCGTTCTATTCATCCAAGACATCGACCAGCAAGCACGCAGAGGTCATTCCAAGTGATCAAGGCATCTTAGAGTTCAACGGTACCACTAGCTTGGTTCTGGCGCTATGGTCGGTCCAAGAGAATCACTCGATTTCAAGCGGGGCGAGGCCGCAGTCTTGTCCTCCGCTCTGCCTGTGGTAAGTCAGTGAGAAGCCTCCACGCCTGCTCAGTCCGTGCCAACCCATCGCAGCATTCGAACGAAGGCCTTTCCTCGCGGCCGCAAGGCAGACTCGACGCGGACGTCGAGAGCACGGCCGAGGCGGGTCGGCGGGACCCGTACGACTTCCGCAAGGCGCTGTTGAACGAGGAGGAGCTTAAAGCGCTGCGCAGGCGCAAGGGCGGGAAGCGCCTCGAGAAGTACCACCGAGAGCAGAATGACGTACGTGGTAGTTCTCCTCGCAGGCAGTAGTGGACGTGCTGGATTGACAGGACTTGGTTCCAGTTGATCACGGCCTTGCTGAAGCCTATGGATGAGCACACTCGGCAAGCGGAAGACGACGAGGCTGCCAACCGATTGCCCGTATGCGTCCAATTGTCCTACGTGTGAGATCTGTACGCGGATTTTGTTTATCTACAGGTCAAGATCGCAGTGTGGGCAAGCCTCGTTGCGAACTTCTCGCTTTGCGTATTGCAATGCAAGTTCCCTTCCAACGTAGACTGCCGTCAGAGCTAATGATATGCCTTTTAGTATATGCTGCCATCTCATCCGCCTCCTTGTCCCTCTTGGCTACCGGTATCGACTCGGTATTCGATATCGGGAGCAACGTGCTCCTTTTCTGGGCGCATTGGCAAGCTAACCGGATGGACTTGAACAAGTGGCCCGTCGGTGGCGCTCGTGTCCAGACCATCGGCAACATTGTATACGGTACAGTCCATCCAGGAGTAGTCATGACTATCCAGCAGCTGAAACTTTCTTACTAGGCTTCTTGTAAGACATGACAGTCCATCCGTCTTGGCCTCGCGCTCACTTTACCAGGATGGGTTCCGTTAACTTGGTCGTCGTCGTGCAGTCCATCCAGTCGATTATCACGCACAAGAGCGACGAGGACACGAAGACGTTGCATGTCCCTTCAATTATTGCCGTAGCTGCTGCTCTCGGTCAGTTCGCATTTCCTGTGCCCGGCTCTTGTATGGATCCTTACGGCCCTCGCAGCGGTGAAGTTCGTCCTCTTCGTGTACTGCCTCTCATTGCGGAAGACCTCAAGTCAAGTACACGTTCTTTGGGAAGACCATAGGAATGACCTCTTCGTCAACGGCTTCGGTGCGTATTCCGAGAAGTCGTTTGCCAGGGTCCCTGATGCTTAACATTCCGGCACGCAGGTCTATTGATGTCTGCGGGTGGCGCCAAACTGAAGTGGTGTAGGTGAACTGGCGTTTCGCTTCTTGCCAGGTCTTACATACTCATGATATTTGCTAGTCCTGGATCCGATGGGCGCTATTATCGTGAGTTTTTGAGACAGTTCGAGGTATCTATTCACACCCGAGTGCACTATAGATCGCAGCTGGCGTTATTATTCTCTGGGGACGTACGATCTACAAGGAGTTCGGGCTCCTGGCCGGAAAATCTGCTCCGCACGACTTCCTGCAGCTGGTGATCTACAAAGCGATGACATTCAGCGATGAGATTGAGAAAATCGATACTGTCAGGGCGTATCATGTGAGTTTTCCTCACCGTCACGGCTAGGATATTGTGCTGACCCAAGCACATTCTTTAGAGCGGACCTGTATGCGAAATCATCCTCTGTTAGCCTTCGTCTTCTTATCCTCAATACTTTTAGGACTATTTTGTGGAAGTGGACGTCGTTATGAGCGCAAACACGCCTCTGTGGAAAGCACACGACATCAGCCAGCAGCTGCAAGATAAAATCGAGGTCCTTCCTGGAGTGGAGAGGGCTTTCGTACATGTGGACCATGAAACGACGCACACTCCGGTGCGTGGTATTTTCGACATGTTCCAGCTACTATATTCACCCTTCTACTCAGGAGCACCGGAAATTCCAGTGAAGAGGACGATAGCTATGACTAACGCCCTTCGTACACGCTATGTGCAATGAGGACTGTAAAGCGAAACTATTAATTGATTGATCCATGATGTGATGTGCTGATTGACTAATTTACGTAGCACTGTAATGTACCCTCCATATCCGCTGATAAACCCGATTTCTTGCATCAGTTCGACCACCTTCGTACCCTTGCGAGGCCTTCCTCGAACTTGACGAGCAAGTCGAATTTCGAGCCTGACTTGGGCACGGCCCTGGAGCCGTGCCGATAGTGTACGTTATTGTCATAGCTCCCACATGCCTGCGTGCTGGATAGGTCGTAGGCACGGATGCGGGAATCTTGAGTTGCCCAGCCTTGGATGCTACGGGTATCGTCAGCACTCATGATAAGCGTTATAACGGATGGCTCCAGCTTACCAATCTCTGATTTTGGACTGCCGAATAGTAAAGTGTTGAGCGATGACATCCTTATACAAACCGAACCATGAGCTTCCAGTAATTCAGGCCCGACCGGAGATAGACCCACGCTCCATATGCCGTGCTTATGCCCGTCATCCATCCAATCGACCATGGCCCACTTAACGGTCTGCAGTGCAACGTTACGATTGTACTGGATGCTTCGTTGATCATTTGGGTTCGCCTTGCCAAAACCGGGTCTGGAGTAAAGGTTAGGTGAATGTGAGCCGTCATGATAGAGGCGACCACCTACTCGTTGAAGAAGGGCGTATCAACCATGATCATGCTTTGTATACTGACTAAAACTTGGAGCAACGTGGATTTGGACGACCACTGCTCCTCCGGTCTAGGAGAGTGGTGAGACCCATTACATAAAATTCAGTACATAGGTGCTCACCGGCCTGGCCAAGTCCCGAGCAACGACAGGCAGACCTTACCTTGGGCGTAGAGGTTAGGATTGAAACGTACTCTCCCGCCGCCCGTGGTACGCAGGTGCATGAGAGGTGGTTCATGCGGATACTCAAGAGGCATGAAACAATCAAACTCGAAGAGCCCGCCTTCATATGGCGTCTTCTCAGGACCCGCAATCATGATCTTACTGCTAAGGATGAGCGAGCTTCAAATGACGGATGAAGAGTGGTGTTTCGCTCACATGGCATCGTTCCGCACCTCGTCAACACGCACCCAAATCCCTGGAGGCAGAGACGTCGCCATTACGGCCAGCTCCTTGACAAGGTGTAGCCTGTCCTTGGGGTTCCTCGTACCGTTGCTCGTGTTCTGCAGCTTACTCGCATAGTTGAAGTCCGGATATTGCAGGACACCGCCAATTTCGCGGCCAAGGGCGACATGCTCAAATGCTAGCCGTTCACACGCAGCGCTATACTCCTTTTCCATCTCGATGGCACCAGACCGACCTTTCTCTTTGGCGCTTAACTTCTTCGGCAGGATGTCGGGCTCCGAAGGCGAAGTAGACGAGACACCAGACGGTCGTTTGCCGAGAACTCGCATTGCCCTTTCAATGTCATCCTTAGCAGCCAGGATATCACCGCATAAAGACATGGCTTTGACAGTGGTCTCCATGGTATCATCGCCATCTTCGTGCTCCATGAGCTGTGACGCGCCAGCCTGGAAAGCTTGACACTGCTTCGATAGCCTGTTGAAATAGTCATACAACGGCGGTGCATGAGCAATGGGAAGGTTGGCGCTGGCGCTGGCTTTGCCGCTTCCACTAGCGTTGTTCTGAGTCTCCCGCTCCCATTCGATCTCACCGTCTTGCCACATCCACTCACCGAGGCTGCAGCTGGTTTTCTTCCGTTCCCAGCGATGATGGATGAGAATATCGACAGTGAGCTCACAATCCGCTAGCCTTCGAAGGAGACCTAGCATCGCATTATACACCTCCACGCGATTAGTCCAGTCGCTGATTGAATCGTTTCGAAGCAGATCCGCTAGTAAGTCTGGGAGATGAGAGAGCAACAATAGGGCCCGAATAGATTCATGGGGGATCAAGTCATAAATCGCTTCGGATCCGTTGTACGGAGAGGGAAGTAGCTGCGTCACCGTGAGGAGGAAACGAGTACAGAGCTCCTCCCATTGCTTGCCCATGCTGGCTAATTTCCTTGAGCTTATCGCGATTGTACTACTCTTCTTTCCCCGCCCAGAGGATGGGCCCCTGGATTCATGATTGCCCATTGAGTAACCGGTCCCGCCAGGGCCCACAGACGTCGTGGTGGATTGACGGCCGGCTGCAGCGGCCTTTGCGCGCTCGTCTGAGCCACGCCGTTCGTTGAGGTACAGCTGGTCAAATGCGCTGAGCGTTTCGAAGAGAGCGATGGCGCGAACTTCCGCGC